AACAAAAGAGAGAGAGAGAGAGAGAGAGAGAGAGAGAGAGAGAGAGAGAGAGAGAGAGAGAGCAGGGACACATCACTGTGGCAGCTGCTTTTAGCCTCCTTCCCGTCCATGTCAGCTCTGGTTCTAGTGGATACTGTAGACGCGTCATCAAGCCCAGACTGTCTCTTCTCTGCCAGTCTTCATCTTTGTCCAGCTTGCTAATTACTGGAGAAGTAATATAGTGTCACATGCTTAGAAGGATCAGAGAGAGTCAATGGTTGGAGTTTGTGTGACAGTCTTCTGTGAATTTAACATACATGGCATCAGGCCAGTTCAACTGACAGTCTTCTGTGAATTTAACTGGACTGGTGGGGCATTTGTCATACACTGTATATAGTGTTTTTGGTGTCTTTGGCCTCATCATGAAACCATAAGCTTCTGGACTATTTTTTATGGTGGTTGTTGTTGTTGATGGTGATATTATGCTCCAAGGGAATACGGTGTCCCTCATAGAGTCCAGTAGAGAGGCATGACCCTGGGGCCACATAGTAACAAAGACAAGTCCTGGCCCAACTCCTTCTCATCTTATTTCTCTCCTCAGGTGGGCACTGTTAACCAGAGTTTTTAGGGTCAAAGTCTGGACTCACAGTGCCGATCAATAAGCCAGGCTTGGCCACTTTGTCTCAATATTAAAGTGACAACTAATAGTGAAAAGCAAAGAAAGATTTGTTCAATGCTGTCACATTGGGGAGAAGGAGAGGGATCCAGTGGCTAACAAGTCTGTAGCTATGTGACTAACCTGAGGTTGTAGTTTAAGTGATTGATAGTAGGTGTAAATAATCAGCAATCCTGGCAAGGTATGGCCTTGTCCGTCATGGTCCTTCCTGTATCAACTCGGTCTGTCCTGTGAGGTGGCTTGCTTTGTCAGAACTGTGTAAAATCTCCTCCTGGAAGACAAGTTCCCCATACAGCTGGCACCTGGCTTCAGCCTTTCCCTTCCCAGCATGGATTTCTGGGGAAACTTTAATCCTTCGGAACACACTATTTCAACAGTCCAATAGCTCACGTGCCTCTCTTTAGAATGGCTTAACTCCTGCTAGGATGGTTGTAGTGGCAATGTGAAGCAGGGTTAGAGGGACAGAGGTAGAGAAGGAAGTTGAAAGCTTGGGTCAAGGGGTGGGGGTGGGAGTGGGGGTGGGTGGTGGAGGGGCAATAGGGATGAGGAACACTCATGGGCGTAGTTATCTGAACAGGACCAATATGGGAAAGGGGCTGTCTTGGAGCCCTATAAAATACCCAAGCCAGTATCAGTTCAGCAGACTTCTTTCAGCTTGAGGCCTCTCCCACAAGGCAGGGACAAAGCTGTTACTTTCTGTCTCTCCCCAGAGTGGTCTTCTGTCTTTTCTGGTCATTGAGTCTTTTGTCTGTGCCAGGGAATGAACTCGGCGACCCCCGCCCCCCAGATGACTGCCAGCAGCACCCCAGTCACAGCTTTGGCAACCAAGCATATTCTTATTCCCAGCTCCGGTCTGTCCCAATTCTGTCTCTTCTCTGAAGTTGTCCTTGACTTTCCAGGTGACCTGGGGTGATGCTTCTGGGTTTCTGGGACCCATTTTTGTGGTGGCAATTGCTTTAGGGGTTATAGTGTTTTCTGTGTGTGTGTGTGTGTGTGTGTGTGTGTGTGTGTGTGTGTGTGTGTGTGTGCATTCATGTGCAAACTCTACAGTATAAGCTTCTTGAGGTCAAAAGCCATGCTTTTCAGGGTCACTGTTTCCGCAGGCCTGGCACACAGTGTGCCCTCAGCAGAGGTCGTAAGTCTTTAAGGATTTACATGGTAAGTCCTTAAAGAATACGAATCAAGTGGACCGGTGGTTTGAATGAGAAATATCTCCCATTGGTGAAGGTCTTTGAACACTCGGTCCTCAGTTGGTGGCGCCGCTTGGGAGATTTGGGAAATGTGACCCTGCTGGTGGAGGAAGTGTGTCACCGAGGGTGGCTTTGAGAGCACATAGCCTCCCCCACTTCCGGTGTGCTCTCTCTCCTTATGCTTGTGGTTGAAGATGTGAACTCTCAGCTTCCTGCTGTGGCTGCCGTGTCCGCGCCTCGTAGCTATGTCTCCCTGCCATGACGGTCTCTCTGGAACCATAAGCCCAAATAAACTCTCCCTTCTGGAAACTGCTTTGGTAATGGTGTTTTATCACAGCAACAGAAAAGTAATGAATACAAATGTTGTTAAAGAGAGCCATGTCCACAGTTAAAATAGGACAGATATGTTGTGAGCATGCCATGGGTGGACTTCGATGGATGTATCTGTGTCTTTCCGCAATGTCAGAATTTATGGAGTAAAAATAACTTCACAAATTATATTTGTTTCATTGACTTAGTTTTATCCATGAGTTCCAGTTTCCCTTGACAGTTGGCCTCAGGTAATCCCGGGTACTCTTATTCCAACCTTAGATACTAGTACTAACTCCCAGATCACACATCACCGGTCAAACAGCATTGACTCTCTGTGTGTTACAGAATGGCGGCAAAGGGGTTAAAGACAGCAGAATTCAGAGGCGACAAGATGGGGGTGTGAGCACAGAGACAAAGAGCTGATACAGATGCAGAGAGAATCCTCACTACAGGGATGGAGAGAAGATAATGAACCCAAGCTGGAGAGGTGCAGAGATAACAACAGGGTGGACCTGAGCGGCTAGGACTGTGGAGGGCGGGGCCGATTTGGGTTCAGACTTAGATATATGAAGAAAAGGCAATCTGAACAGGACGCAAGAAACACTCCATTCTCTTGACAATAGGAAGCTCTCTATCTGTTGATTCCTTGAGGCACATACTGGGTCATAACGGGAGAGTTTGTAACCTCCATTAGTCTGGTGTGCTTGACAAGTTCCCAGGCCCAGTTTACCTGATGTGGTTTTAAGGTACCCATATGTCCATGTGTTCCCAGGCTACCCTGAGAGATCCATAAATAGAAGTTTTTAGTTGCACAAACAAGGCATTCATCCACGTGCCTCGCGATCAGTGATGGACAGGTATCGGTATATCCATGTGCACAGTGACATAAAGTCATTCCGTCTCTGCGTTCGTACTCAAAACGGAGCCATTTTGTAACGTGGGGGCACACAGGATGAGGCACAGCCTGAAGTCACTGTTTCATGCAATGTAAAGGAACTTGGAGCTGAGTCTGATCTTCACAAAGTGTAAGTCGGGAAGAAGGTTGGAGGCTTGCTGGAGAAGGAAGGTGTGCGTAGGATGTGGGGGAGGAATGCGGGTCAGATGATTTCTGCCGTGGGTAA